TTTTTAATGTTGAATATGCACCTTGCACATGTAGGACGGTCGTCGAAAACGTCGGTAAAATCAGAGAAAAGATCGAAGTTGACCGGCATGTTGGTAGTCGTAACATCGCCCAAGAGCTAAAAATCGACCACAAAACTGTTTTAAACCATTTACAATTGACCAGAAACGACCAGAATTGGCCAACAGGAGAGGTGTCGTGTTCCACCAGAACCCAAATCGGATATTCCGAAGCATATAAGTTATAATCCTATAATTCATATAAAAACCAGTAAGGAATGTTCAAAAGTTGGACGGAGCCGACTATGTGATACTCTTCACCACTTTTGGTAAATACAAGACATGCTGATATGTAAAATATACATCCTGTATACATGACGAAATAATTGGAGATTAAATCGGGCGAAAATATATATGGGAATTTAATACACAATTCTAGACTTAACTCAGTGCGCTTTTCCAAATTTCGTGCAAATCGAAGCATATATAGGGACTTTGGAGCACCATTTACATAAAATCGGATGAAAATATATATGGGAGCTATATAAATCTGAATCGATTTTCAGGAAACTTGACACACATCATTCTAGACCTAATTCATTACGCTGTGCCAAATTTCGTGCAAATCGAAAGTTATATAGGGACTTTGGTGCACCATTAACATTAAATCGGACGAAAATATATATTGGAGCTAGATCTAAATCTGAACCTATTTTTAAGAAACTTAACGCACATCATTCTAGACCTAATTCATTACGTTGTGCCAAATTTCGTGCAAATCGAAAGATATATAGAGACTTTGGTGCACCATTAACATTAAATCGGACGAAAATATATATTGGAGCTATATCTTAACCGATTTACCGGAAATTTAACACACATCATTCTAGGCCGAATTCAGTACACTATACCAAAAGTCATGCAAATCGGAACATATATAATGACTTTGGTGCACAATTTACATTGAATCGGAGGAAAATATTTATGGGAGCTATATCTAAATCCGAGCCGATTTTCAGGAAACTTAACACATATCATTATAGACCTAATTCGTGCAAATCGAAAGATATATAGGGACTTTTGTACACATTTTACATTAAATCGAGCGAAAATATATATTGTAGCTATATCTAAATCTGAACCGATTTTAAGAAATTTTCAAACACTTCATTCTAGACCTAATTCATTACCCTATGCCATATATCGTGCAAATCGAAAGATATATACGGACTTTGGTGCCCCATTTAGGTTAAATCGGACGAAAATATATATGAGAGCTATATGTAAATCTGAACCGATTTTCCCAATTTCCATAAGGTTCGTCCTTGGGCCAAATAAATGAGCTGTGCCAAATTTCATCCAGTTCAAATCAAAAATGCGACCTGTACTTTGTTTACAATTTTACATCGACAGACAGACAGACAGACGGACGGAAATGAGTAAATCGAAAAAAACGTAAACGGAAAAAATATGGATGTTTGATTCAGTTATCCAATGTTTTCAATTAAGCGGAGTTCAGTTAACTAAAAATATTTTCAGTTATCCGAACTTCTCATAAACGAAACATTTTTCAGTTTTAGAAATTTCAATAATCCATATTTTTCGAGTTTTACGAATATCGATATATATATATATATATATATATATATATACAGAAATTATCACTAGATTGGCGGTCATTTTGATGGGTTTTCGATTTCAAGAACAAAAATAATTGTGTGTATTATGACACAGCTTTTTAAAACTTGGTGATTTTTTGTACCACATAGAACTACGTTTATTAATCATCGTAGCTGCTTTCCCCCTCTTTCATTCCCCGTATTCACATGTGCTATACATATATTGCCTAAAATCGTCCATTTTGACCTCTTGTGAAATATTAAATAAATTGTGAAATATCAAATATTTGCTACTCTAGAAACACAAACGAACAAAAAAACTAAAAAACTTTTTGTCCGCACTCTTATTTTTCGAAAAGGAAAACTTGAGAGCCCTCCCACCGAAAACAAATAACAACAACGTTTTGTATGATTGCAAATAATGTTAAAAAAATAAAAACATAAGTTTAAAAAAATGTTTTTACACAAAAAAAATCTTTCAGAATGAGGTCATTTTGACCGATTTTAGGCAATATAGGTATATACACTCAATATATTCCACTCTTGAATATATAGCCGATTCACTGTGTTATCATTAAGTGACGGCCAGAGTACTTATCAAACTTTGAAAGCCTTTTTCTCGATCAGGCGAAGTAAAACTCTATTGTATGCACTAGAATAGACGCAATCGGTCAAGATCTTCTAACAGGGAAATTTTCAAAAATCAAATTTTAAAGGTCCGCCAATTTGGTAATTGTTGCGCGACGCGTGCTCTTATGAATGGTGTTGGAATTTTTTGGATTCGGACATTCCAGTGGTTGCAAATCTTGCCCATCATCGAAAAGAAGGATTTTTCTTTAGTTACAAAAATTAACTGCAAAACAACAACAAGAAAATTATGTCTTGAAATATATGTATTCAAAATTCCAAGTCTTCAATATAATGCACGCTCATTTGCCATCAGAATAAAACTTTATGTCGATTTCTGGATATACGTCTGTCTGAAATGGCCATAGAGCTAGCAAGATTTAAGGTCGAGCTTTGAAATACCTCCTGATTTTCCAACCGAAAGGGTTGTATTCCATATTTTGACATTTTCCCTTTTTGAAGGTTCGGCAAATTTTGATATTTTGGGTTGTAATTTGGCATTTGCACGAAAATTTTTCTTTATAGTTCTATGTTTAGATATATCTACTATATAAAGGTATCGTACAATAATTGGTATTTTCAGGGTTTAGTCGCATTTACCAACCAAAGAGCTCCAATTTGGCATTGCAGGTTCTTGGTAAAGAAAATAGTCTTTCCACGAAAATTTTTCAAAATAGGTTAATGTTGGTAAATAGATACAGGAGTCCAGCTCAATGCTGCCATCTTAAAATTGTAAGCCTCTGTAATTTGGCATTTAATATTCTAAGAGTATAAACAACCTACAACCAGCAGACTATTTACCAAGTTATCGTCGCCTAATTTAGGTTCCGAATTGTATAAAGAATTTTTATACCCTTCACCACACTGTGGTACAGGGTTTTATGTATTTGTGCATATGTTTGTAACAGGCAAAAATAATCGAGATAGACCCATGGTTTCTTTTGAGAATATGCATAGAATCACTTTCTGAGTCGATTTATGCATGCCCGTCTGTCCGTCCGTCCATGAATTTTTGTTAACAAAGTACAGGTCGCATTTATTATCCGATTTGGATGAAATTTGACACAGGTAACTTAATTGGCCCACGGACGAACCCTATTGAAATTGGAGAAAATCGGTTCAGATTTAGATATGGCTCCCATATATATTTTCGTCCGATTTTATGTAAATGGTGCACCAATGTCCCTATATATCATTCGATTTGCATGAAATTTGATATAGCGTACTGAATTGAGTCTAGAATGATGTGTGTTAAGTTTCGTGAAAATCGGTTGAGATTACGATATAGTTCCCATATATATCTTCGTCCGATATTAGGTAAATGGTGCACCAAAGTCCCTATATATCTTTCGATTTTCACGAAATTTGGCACAGCGTACTGAATTGAGTGTAGAATGACGTGTGTTATGTTTCGTGAAAATCGCTTCAGATTCAGATATAGCCCCCATATATATTTTCGTCCGATTTTAGGTAAATAGTGCACCAAAGTCCCTATATATCCTTCGACTGGCACAAAATTTTGCATAGCGTACTGAATTCAGTGTAAAACGATGCATGTTAAATATCGTGAAAAATTTAGCTATAACTCCCATATATATTTTCGTCCAATTTTAGGTAATTTATAAGAAACCAAAAATTATAAAATAAAATATAAAAATATGAAGCTTGAAAGAAAAAAGTGTTCAAATTTGCATTCCTGTCCCCTATATATATCACCTATATATTTTCGTCCGACTTAATGTAAATTGTTCACTGTGCAGATTTACATATTGCTCCTATATATATACTTTCGTCCGAATTTAAGTAAATGATGCACTTAAGACCCATAGCTAGGCCGATTGAAACAACGTACTGAAATATAAATTAATCTCTGGCAAGTTGCCTTGAAATCGGTTCAGGTTTATATATGGCTTAGCTTCCATATATAATTTCGACATATTCGTGTTTATTGTACACCAAATAATAACTGGGTACCGGATTGATACTAGTTTTTAAACAGTGGAACATACCAAATAGCGTGTGTAAAAATTAAAATGGGTTGCAGAATGACAATGGGATTGATGTTAGTTGGTTAACTTATAGATAAGGATCATGCCAATGTTCCTTCCTTCAATTTCATGTAAATGTTCCTTCGAATATACCCAAAGTGGTGAACTTTACTTTTTTTACTGGTTTATCTATAGTTGACATTTTTTTTAAAGGATAACATAAAATTATTGGAAAAATATTCATGGTAAAAATAAACAGATAAAATATGGGATAAAGTAATCTATAGGCAATATAAATGTCTATACATATGTATGTTTTTAAAATTACAATAATAACATTGTGTCATGGTTGAATAACCGAACTGTGTATTTTAAGAGATATGAATTCCTAAAAAAAACAGGGTAAACATTTACACAGAAAACTAAAAAAGGTATACGTTCGATGAATTCATTATCATTGATTGTCACAACCAAATGTACAGTGAAACCTGTAACAAATATATATTTATTTTCATTTGGGTTATAAATATTTATCAGTGACGCACATTCAATAATATAAAGATCTTTATTATGAGAATATATTTTTTATTATAATTTCTATTAAGATATATTCTCTTTAAAAAGGCTCCACTGTATTCTATTATGCATATATGATTTCATGTATATGTATTTTTTTATTTTTTCGTTTATCATTCAAATCTCTGCTGTCCCCTTTTTCATATAATATCGATTTCATTTGTCTCTTTTTTTCCTTTCACTTCCATTCCAGATTTAATATCACCAACCCCGAGGAACCACAATTTTCTTTGGAAAATTTGGATACTTTAACATCGATAATGACCCAAGAGAACAATTCATTGAAAATGCGTATTTATGCCTACAATCAAAAGGGACGCAGTCCGTCGTATTTGATACAGGATATGGTGATTGGAGCTACAGGCTTTAAAAACGGTATGTACACACGCGTATATGTAGCAAATAATCAGATTACAGAAAATACAAAAAATGGCCTTCAATCAAATTTGTGATTTGTTTTGTGGATCATTTCACTTTTGTTGTTTTGTGATAAGAAAAAGGACTCTCGTTCTGGATGTCGGCCTCAGCCGAAGGGCTCATCAATAATGTTATTTTCCTGGTTTTTGTTTTATGAATTTCTAAAGAAATCTTTTTAAATGTTTAGATGATTGTTGTTTTTGTTTTCCTAGTTATTTTTCTGCCGATGTTGTTGCTGGAAAAAATCTAGGTGGGCAAACACAAACAACGACAATGATTGATTACCTGATGACATGTTTTGATGCGACAGGTGTTTTTGACTAATGTTGTTGATTGTTCGCTTTCTGTAATGATATGGCTTGGGTGCGGTGGAGCATGGAGGGAGCGAGGGTGGGTGTATGCATGTTATTGATTTCTTGACATCTTTGCTTTAGTACTCTCATTCTTTTCATTGTTTACCTTAAAAACACAGCAGCGTCGTATCCTTGTGAGCCATTAGATTCATATGCTAAGTGTTCTAAATAGAACCATGGCGAAAACAGGCGAGGTTGTCATTCACTCATGACTTTGTAGAAAAATAAAGTTAGCAGACATGTTTGTTTTCCATAGAATGGCATTGATGGAAGTTCTTCTATTACTTCACCTTTAGCAATACATTAGAAAATTCCTTACATACCATATCAACCACATCGAACCCATAACAATGTTTTCTGTAGGTTGACTCCTTCTTAGGAAATATATAAAGACATGAGGTAAATAAAAGATCGATTTACATGTTGGAATTCCGTTATGGTCGATTTTACCTATATTTGGCTGTGGGAAGATCTTGTTTAAACTTCATATTTATTATGGAAAATTGTTAGGTAAATATTATGAAAAATATTCCATATGGCAAATAGAGTCATATCTAAAGGGGACACCAAAGATAGTGTTATTTTTGGAGGTATGAAAGAGGAGTTTTACTGACCCTCAGTCAAAATTTTAAAAATTAATCGAGTATATTTTCAAGTTTCTTACATGGGACTTCAAAGAGTAATTCTTAAATAACTATGATTTCAAATAAAAAAGTCCGGTAAATATGTTAATGGGGTTCACTATAAAAATTTTCAAAAAAAGATATTAGGTTGGGGAAAAAGAAATCTATTAGACCGGTCTTCGAAAATGTCAATAAAATCGAAGAAATGATCGTAGTTGCCCGGCATGTTAGCAGTCGTAACATCGCCCAGGAGGTAAAACTCGACCATAAAATGTTTACTTCTACACAAAGCTGGATTCAAAAAGAAGCTCGATTTTCGGTGGCCAAACTAGGAAGGTTCTGCTATGCATTTTGTGGGACTATTTATTATGTTCTCTACTGTCAACAACTGGATCGTTTCAAGATAGCAATTGACCAGAAACTGCCTGAATTGGCCAACAGGAGGAGTGTCGTGTTTTACCATGACAACGCTAGGCCACACACATCTACAGTTCATATAAAAACAATTGGTTTCTTTTTCCCCAACTTAATATTATCTTTCTTGTGGATGGTTGAGTTAGGTTAAAGGATGTTCAGCAACCAGCTATTTAGCAGCTGGTTGGGTTTGTCCAATAGTGTACAATGTTCCAGATTGAACCTAGAATACAAATGGTACACTATTTTCTTGGCTTGATTTAAAATATTCCTTAGATTCAGAATGATATGGGTTTGGTTTGGTTTCAACACAAAGTGATGAAGGCTATAATATTGTACGAACCTAAATATGTGATCTTTATCAATAAGCGAACCGTTTAACATCAATTTCAATGAAACTTGACAGAGATTGATTATGCCATACACAACTGTGTTGTCAGGGTATTATAGCTTTGTACAGCCCCAAAGGTTTGTAACACCGCGAAATATTGGTCCCAGACCCACTTTTAAGTATACCGATCGTCATATCATCAGAATTTTGGGATGAAGTAGACCGAAACTTAATTTTTTTGTCGATCTATAGGCCACAATTGAAAGCCCAACATAACAACATAACCTACGGTAATAAGAATCTGGACAAGTATAGCCCTCGTCTACTGATTATAAGTAATATTTGTTGATCTTTAGTCGGGTGTCAAAAGGGTGCAAATAACAAAATTTAATTTTCGTGGAAGTTGTGTGGCGTATCACATGGTCGGCACCGTCCGACTATACTGCTCCGCTCACTGGTTTTTTAACTACAGTACATCGGACAAACTTTAGGTTTTTAGAGCACTTTGTTACACAATATGCTTTAAATCGGACGGACATGGGCTATAGCTAACTCTGAACCGATTTTCGCTAAACTTAACACACACCATTCTAGACTTAAGTCAGTACGCTATTTCGTATAAATCGAAAAATATATAGGGACTTTAGTACACCATTTACATTAAATCGGACGAATATATATACGGGAGCTATATCTAAATCTGAACCGATTTTTCCCAATTTCAATAGGATTCGTCCTTGGGCCAAATAAATGATATGTGCTAAATTTTATCTAATCGGGATAATAAATGCGACCTGCACTTTGTTTACAATTTATCACGGACAGACAGACGGAAGGACGGACGGACAGACGGACTTGCATAAATCGACTCAGAAAGTGATTCTAAGCATATTCTCAAAAGGAACCATGGGTCTATATCGTTTCCTTTGCCTGTTACAAACATATGCACAAAGTTCACGGAACTTATCACACACCATTCTAGACTCAATTCAGTACGATATGCCACATTGCGTGCAAATCGCAAGATATATAGGGACTTTGGTGCACTATTTACCTAAAATCGGACGAAAATATATATGGGAGATATATCTAAATCTGAACCGATTTTCACGAAATTTACACACGTCACTCTAGACTTAGTTTAGTACGCTGTGTGATAAATTTCGTGGAAATCCAATGATACATAGGGACTTTGTGTACCATTTACTTTAAATCGGACGAACATATATATAGCTAAATATGAACCGAATTTCGAGAAACTTAACACACACCATTCTAGACTTCATTCAGTACGCGATGCCAAATTTCGTGTAAATCGAAAGATATATGGGGACTTTGGTACAGCATTTACCTTAAATCGGACGAAAATATATATGGGAGCCTTATCTAAATCTGAACCGATTTTCCCAATTTCGATAGGGTTCGTCCTTGGGTCAAATAAATGAGTTGTGCCAAATTTCATCCAATTCGGATCATAAATGCGTACATGCATATTCTCAAAAGGAAACAAGATAGACACGTGGTTCCTTTTGAGAATATGCATGTACATATGCACACATATGTGTGCATATGTACATGCCTGTACCCTGTACCCTGTACCTGCAATACCCTGTACCCCAGTGTGGAGAAGGGTAGAAATACCCTGTACCCTGGACAGTCATACTGAATTGGGTTTATTTCAGATTCTTTGTTGTATTGAGGCAAACTTAATTTTTGTTTTCATCTCCAATCATTCAAAGTTTGAAAAAATCCGATCAATAACCGTTAGTTGTTAGTTTTTATCTTCAATAATTAAAATGTTGATCAATAACCGTTGGGCGCCACAGGAACAATACTCAATATGTTTTAATGTATAGACTATTTTCAGATATATTTCATATACAGATCTTCTATCATGCATCGGGCCTTCTCCACCTAATATTTAATTGTTAATTTAACACATCTCAACATCTATAATATTTTTTTTCGGGAGACATCTGCAATAAAACTGGGACTCATTATTTGTTTTATAAAAACTGAATAATATTACAAAAAAATCTCTTCCATATAGTTGAATAAATTTACATTTGATGCAAGGAAGAGAACGTTGCCCAAACATATATCCTGCTCCTTTATATTGCATACCTTCACATAAATTACAGCAATTACTTTAATAAATGTGGGTCATCATTTAACCTGTCATCAAAAAATATGTAGAAAATAAATAAAATAAAAACAGAATACAAATGTCATTGTATAATCAGAAACTGGCAGTCAGACAATCTGGTGTTTAACCGCCTGCTTCGTCGGTCGCTTGGTTTGCCCTGTGCATGTGCATCAAAAAATTGTTTCATTTAAAAATGAAATAAGATTTTGTTTTTCATTTTTAAATGGATTCTATATGTTTAATTATTCATTATCTTACTCTTCGGCTGTTATTATAAATAACATTTGCCATGTCTGCGTTGTATTATTTTTTTAAATGCAATGCAATTTATTTCATATATATATATATATATATAATATATGAAATGTTAATTGACTATTATGTGACCTTATTTGCTATCGCTAATAAACGGTTTTGTGTATATAACGTTGTTATTATGTTCTTTTTTATTCCAAACAAATACAATATTATTATTGTTATTTGTTCAGAGAGTCCTTTGAGACGGCAAAGGAATATATGAGTCAAACCGACTGAGACAGACAGGCAAACGGAAAATGGCTGATGTCGCCACAAATAATGATATATATATATATATATATATGATGAAAAAAAATTAAAATAAAAATTCAAGTAGAACACAAAAGCCAAACTGTCAGCTAACGATATGACGAACTAAATTAAACTAAATTTTTTCATAATGAAATTATTATATATAAAATATGGAAAAGAATTGTCATATGTTTATGGATTCATAGCCAGTAATTTTATTTTTTGTTATATCGAAAATTCGCCTTAACACTGTTCTACTGTATTTCTATATAGAGTAGTTATGCGTAACGCAATATACTGGCATTGTTATTATTATGAAATGAATGCTATGTTCGTTCAAATGTTAAATGACATGTTACGTTTTATAATTTCCATAAAGAACAATTTCAGTTTTTTTTTCCGCTTGGAAGTTGACAGCAAACTGACGATAGTCATTTATGAAAGTGAAAATATAATGACATGCTATTAAAAAATATTGATTTATGAAAAATAAAAATATAAAATTGTTATTGCATTGAAAAATCGTGGCAGGTGTCTTTAAA